TTCATTCCCACTGTAGCTCCTATAAAACGTCTTGAACAAATGTGTGTAAACATATTAAAAAGAGATTGCTTTTGGTTGTAGAGAGGAAATTTCAAAGCAGTCATATCTGTAGTAAAACAAATTTAATCAGAAAGACAATGTCTTGGGAGAATAATGCTACCTGCTCCTGAGAGCAAAAAGGAAAATTCTTTAGTAAAAGTAACAAGGTGTTTAAAACATTTAAATAAAAGTGTTTCTATGTAAAATTAATAAATAACTAACATCACACACATAGATAGCTTTCCCAATGTAAGCCTTTCAGAGTTCAGATGGTTTTACATCCATCAGGATTGATGAGCAAGTGGCTAGTTCAGGTGAAGCTACAACAGGTCTGACCTCCGATCTGAAAACCTTTTTTTATTTATTTTTTGGCTGTCACTATACCATAACCCTTTTGTTGCAGCGACCACAAAATGTAGCAATTTGGGTGCTTCTAGGAGGCAAAAGGAATTCCTTAAGATTTCAGAAGAAATAACCATATGCTCTTTAACTGATAACGATTTAAAGTTAGCCTGACAAGCCAGCCTCTTTATGTAAAATGTTAATAGTCTGGCCACGAGCCATTGAAACAACCCAGAGTTGTGGGGCAACATCTACTGTTGTCTTTCAAACTGTCTCTGCACGCAGTTGGACAGTAGTAGGGCCAATCAATCTCTCAGGACACAACGGAAATCAGTCAACGGGGCAGCCCACCAAACATGATGAAAGTAGAAGAAAATACATCAGTTTTTGAAAAAAAAAAGGGAATTAAGGACTTACCAGCTCAGTAGCCTAGTGGTAGAGTGTCTGCCCTGGAACTGGGAGATTGGGGCTCGATTCCCAGTCAGGTCATACCAACGACTTTAAAAAACGGGACCCAATGTCTCCCTGCTTGACATTCATGCTTCTCCGTCTGCGTCAGTGCGGAGACACGCAAAGTCCTTGCGTGCCTGCCGGAGAGCTCCGCAAGGACGGGCGGAGTCGAGCTCTCTTTCCTAAACATCCGTCAGTCGAGACGGACAACGCAAGCTTGTGATTGGTCAGGACGCAGCTGTCGTCTACACCGCCGGCATTGCGCCCTCAAAAACATAAAGAGAGCCGAGGATAACTAGCGGCAGACACGGAGAAGCTTGAAGAATACCTCATGAAAAAACTCTAAAAACATGAACGTTGTAATTCTCCCGTGACTGGAGGAGTGAAAAGATGCGCAGCAAGTGTTTTGTTTGTGGACAGAAATGACAGGAAACGTGGGTTTAGAGGTGGGGAGCGCATGAAGAGGTGGGAGAATGAGAGACAAATATGTCCGTGTTAAAAGTCTCTTATATACACAAAAAACACAATATAAACACACGATCTTGGACCGATACATGACAGGATACCACAGAACAGCGCTACGCCCTCTGTTGTCCTGCCGGGCAATTGCTTTGCAACACTCTCCAGGAGACGGAGAGCAAAACGCTTCCGTCAATCCGTGCGTGTCTGTCCCTTGCAGAGCTGACGGAGAAGCAAGCTTTAAGGGGTTGGATCGAGGGGTTAAACCACCAAATAGTTCCCGAGCACAGCCACCGCTCCCCTTGATGGGGATGGGTTAAATGCGGAGATGAATTTCACCAGTGTCTGATGATGACTATGGGACTTTAACTTTAACTTTAAGTACCTCTATCTGCTCTTGTTTCAAAGAAAAGCTCAAGTCTAAATCACCCAATGATGATGCCAAAGCCATTTCAAACTAGTGTTGTTTTTGAGCCAACGCCATCTTTGTAGTTTTTCTCAGTTCTAATTCTGGTGCTAAGCCTGCCCAACCTGCTGAAGCTACAACAGAGCTTGGCTACACCAAACTGCATAGCAAAAGCCTTTATGCTACTTCTACAGTTGGTCTAGATTTCTAGGCTAGCGCAAAGGTAGAAAAATAAACAATTGTATGATCTGATGTGCAATTTAGAGAACTGGAGTGGCAGCAGTACATTTTAATCTAAGCTTTTACATAGACAGTTAGCTTATCACTTCTGTAAGCTGTAAACTGTTTGCACAAACAAAGTTTGTCCACAAAATTCTTTAAAATAGTCGAAAATATAACTATCAGTGAAACTGTGAGGATGTTTTTGGTTTCTTACCCCATTTCTCTACATGTTTTGTCTCCCTGCAGATAGGAGAGGAGAATGCGGCTCTGCTGGCCGCGCTTACAGACAGTTTGGATGGCATTGTGGATGCTGAAGTGGGCGGGCTTTCAGTTTTTCCCGCTCTGGAGGAAGAGCCAAGTCAAGAAGAGGAAGATGAGGACAGCCTTCCTCTAAGTGCTGAAGACTTCAGTCAGTCCCTAGGGGCTGAGACAGAGGACCTATCTCTAGTAAGAACATTTAAAGTAGACAGTTACGCTTGTTGTGCTTTGTTTTTGAGATATTTAGACAAAACTTGGCTAACATGTCTAAAAATATGTTTGAGACTCTTATCTCTGCTTTTTGAAAAATCTAAATACTTTTTCTGCTCAGAAAATGAAACCAGTTGAAGTAGGTTCCTTCATTTTCGCTTTAAGCAGCAGTCACTACGTCTCATCCATGCCATTTCCTTTGACACGCGTTCTAATCCGTTTCACATGTTCTAACCTTGATGTTTTAGCTAGCAAGCTTTAAAGTTTACCTTTACTTCTCAAAAAACGGGTGCACAAAAGTAACCTTTCATCCAGTCCCAGACTGTGAGCTATGCTGTATTTCCGAGGGCCATGTGCATGTTTTTCAGGCTCTTACAGACAGGATCTTACAGACTTGCTGTTTGATAAATAAATTAAATAATACAAATTAAGCACTAAATCAAGTCTAAATGACAGTGCTTTCTGTTCAGGTTTCAGAACAAATGATAAACTATAAGTCCTCACAAGGACAGTAATCCAGGAGGATGTGACCTTGCTGTGCATGTGATTTCTTTGTGTTTAGTCTGTTCCCATTCTTTTTTTCACACTATACTGCTGGATGCCTCACTCTGGGCCCCTCCATTGTTCCATGAACCACTCTTCTAGACACAGCTCCAGTTATCAGCCTCCACCTGCACCTGAGCACCCCTGGTGCCGCCCGCCTTCATCTCATCATGCAGGAACAACAAATTGTTGTTTCCCTTCACAGGGAATATTGTGCCCCAATTTCCCTGTGTTAGTGTCAGATGAACGTCGGCCTGTGCTCGGCTATTGAGTTTAATTGAAGAAGGGAGCTCTTTCAGTGCATAAACGACTTATGATTACCGCTGTAATGTGGCCTTATTGCACTTGTCAGGTTAAATCTATTCCACTTCCTTCATTTGACTTAAATTTCACACTACAAAGGTGTGCACTCTGCTTTGGTGGCAACCTACAAAGATGCTCGTTGTTTGGCGTCATGAATTGAGGTGGATAACCGGAGACCTAATGCGTAAATGTTAACCAAACTGCTCTGCTCTTTCATTTGTAATTACACCAGGCAGAGCTCCAAAACAAGTCCTTTGGTGGAGATCACATTAGCTTAGATTTAAAACATGATTGTTCTTTAACATCTGATAGAAGAAGAGGAGTTTGAAAAATGCAGAACAACTTTTAGAATGACTTAAAGAGCAAGTTCACTGAGAAGCCATTTTTTTTCCTTTTTTTATTTTTAAAGTACGATCAGTGATTCTACATGCAGGCCGAATATGCCAGTAGCCTCCAATAGACAATAGACGGAGAAACATTTGGGTCAGAAAAAGCCACTCATTTAACATTCATGGACTCACCCATCTTGACTCGCAATGGGGAAGGCTGTTGATAGTTTAGCGTCCAGGAGCAAGAAGAGCACGTCTCAGCAAGTAGAAGCTAACCGTTAGCATTAGCATCTCCACAACATGTCAGATCTCTTTCAGGCTTGTGTTGTTTGTGGAGATAAAACATCAACTTTGCAAAGCAGAGTCAGTGGTAGAGTTGTGTTGCTGTTAGCCAATCAGAGGGGAGATGTAAGGCATGCTGTAGCTCAGGAGGTAGAGCGCGTTGTCTAGTAGGCTATAGGTTTGTTTCCAGCTCCTGCCAGAGAATGCTGCTGTTGTGTCCTTGGGCAAGACACTTAACCCTCCTTGCCTGCTGGTGGACCAGTGTTCGGCAGTCTCACTTCCATCAGTGTGCCCCTCACCACCATGATGAGATTGTGTGTGTGTGTATGGGTGTGTGAATGGGTGAATGACTGATTGTGTTGTGAAGCGCCTTGGGGGGTTGTAGAACCCTAAGAAGATGCTATACAAATACAGGCCATGTTTCTCTAAAAGGGTCATTTTAGCACATACTGGCTCAAGGAAATTATTTCAAAATTAAAAACAAAAAGGTTTCCTAGTATACATTTAATGTAACACTTGAGTGTAACGAATTTGTGAAAAAGCACATAGAACTCAAACTTTTTTCAGAGCCTGAAACTGTATCATTAATCTGTGAGGAGACAAATGGACAGACAGTCTTTATTCCAACATATGCCCCCTTTAAAACACCTTTAAAGTTATTTTAGGGATTTTATTTAGCGACTGGCTGCACCCCGCAGTGTCTGAACATTTAGTGATGTAAATCCGGCAGTGATGTTCAGGACCCCTGACGGAATGCAGAATACTTCAGTGTACTAAATATAAATCATATCATCCTGAATCCTGACTCTGTTTCCACTGCATGCACTATCAGTGGCAAAAATAGCAACCTGACATTCACGTCCACTCACACAGAAAAGCCTGGTGTAATAACATTAGGCTCTTTACTCTACTGGAGCTGCCAGATGTGTGTGTGTGTGTGTGTGTGTGTGTGTGTGTGTGTGTGTGTGTGTGTGTGTGTGTGTGTGTGTGTGTGTGTGTGTGTGTGTGTGTGTGTGTCTGTCTGTCTGTGTGTGTGTGTGTGTGCGAGCGTGTGTGTGTGTGTGGGATTCATTCTCTATCAGTTGATCAGTTGAGTGGTTTACCATCACATGACCGCTGCCACTCATGTGCACTGGCCTGAGAGTGGCACTGCCCTCTACTGCTCTCCACGGGTATTAAAGATGACCTCACTGAGGGTTTCCTTTGCATCTGCTCACACATCTTTGTTTTTGAATCTATAACAAATGACATTTATCTTCATTGTTTTTCTCAGCTGATGGTCACATGAACTGCCTGTATTCATTTTGAAGTGCTGACAGATGAGATAATAAATATAAAAACACGTACAACTCCATGAAAACGGAATAAAACATTTTCTAGGTCTAGATTAAAGAGTCAGTCACTCCTGTTCTATTTTCTGCACATTTTATAAACTCTTCACCTATATTCATCTACAGATGTTTACACGAGCTTGTCAACAGGGATCAGCAAAGGACAGACAAAACATAATTACACAAATGGCATTTTTATTCTATTCTACAGATAAATGCATCGTTCCTTCAAGCTGTTACAGAATTATCAGATCAGCAGTTGTTATTTTGATGGATCTGATGTTAGACACTATTATAAAATTGTTCTCAATTCACTGGAAAACAAAATCAAAGAAGGAAGAAAAGTGGGAATAAATAAAGGAAGGAAATAAAAATAGAGCATCAAGTTATGAAAAGTCTGTTTATGGTCAGTTTCTGTTGTTTTTCTAATAACATCCATCATATTATTGTCCAGTAAACAATATATATGGTATGCGGTTAGCAATCTGACATCAGTGCCCTCCTGATAGTAAGCAATTCATAAATAAAACACAGTGGAAAAGCCACACTATTGAGTCCTCACCTTTTCTTCTTCGTAGAACATGATTCACATCACATTCGTGTGCACTGGAGTCATTTCTGCAGCCTTCCTACTGTGCATGCCCATAGGAGATTGGGAGCTAATTAATTTCCTTTACTTTGTTACCTGCATCCTAAATTATTTGTTTAATTTGTTCTCCCTGCAGGCCAACTCATCATTACAAATCCTCTGAATGCTAGAATAGATCATTAAAATGCAATTTAGGACAACTGAAGTATCACATGTAAGATTCTACTGAATAATCATTGTTGAAGTAATAAATGTTGGCACAAGATGAATTTAGATTACTTTAATGTTAAAAGTTCAGAAGACAAGTTGCTCTGCAGTCAGTTAGGGAGCACTTCTGCAAAGTCTATTTTTATAAAATTAGTGTGTTTGTGTGTGTGTGTGTGTGTGGGGGGGGGGGGGGTCTTATCACATCCCTCTGTTTTGCTGTGTACTGTTATTTCAGTTTGAGATGAACCCACAATTAAGCTTGCTTATGTATTTATTTTCCCTGAGTATTTCTAAGGTTCTTTTTTTACGTGCAGTTCTGTGTGTGTTCCACTGCAGAACAGGACCTCCATTGATGATTCATGATTCCAGTGCAGCTCTGGAAGGCTGAGTAGAGCGAGGAGGAAGAGTGGAGTAGACTGAGGGGCCCTGATGCTGCTGAAGGGTTTTCAGTGTTTCACACAGACACAAACCTTCAGTTTGCTCCTCTTGCTCAATGAGACCCTGAGAGCAGCAGCATCATCACACACTCTGAGCCAAGTTGGCTTTCTCACAAAAGGCCACGGTAGCCCCATTAGTGATGCAGGCCATCGTCCCATTCACTCGGTTGACCCGTATTCCTTGCCCACACTCAGTACTATTGGGTGGTGATTTTGTGTTGAAGGAAACATTACTAAAGTGATGAAAGTTGGTTGGCCTGCTGCTCTTCTGATTTGATGAATACTCTATCTGCATAAACAATGTAGAATTTTTTTGTTTTGTTGACCGTAAAACTCTTAAATTGTTTTCTTAGCAGTGATTCTTTTAAAGAGGTTTCACATTGTCCTTGGTTGAAGAATTTCGCATTAATTTCAATAAAATATAAGAGCTCTGTTTTTCTGAATTAAGATTATAATGAGATCCAATATCGTGCTAAATCCATTCCAGAGCTTTTGACCATGTTATAATGTTGTTTTCCACAAACAACACTCTCAAAGCAGTTTATGGCTTCACAAATGTTTTTTTCCCCATCTCAGCTGCAGCTTCCCAGCAGCTCTGCAATTGTCTGCTAAAGTACTGCAAACAGCTGGATGGGGTTGCTGATATATCACAATGACCCTATCCCCATCCAGGTCTCAAATCTGCACCCCTCCTCCTCAAGACTGTAGACACTAACGCCCAGTCTCTCACTGTAGCTACCAAGGAGATTAATCACACTAAGTGATTTCTTTCTTACCTAGGCTGAACTTTAAATAAAGCCTAATCCAAAAGTGCATTTTTGTATGCGAAAAGTAAAAGAATCCTGTCCCGTCTTCCTGAAGAAGAGTCAGCGGACGTGGTTAGGTGTTATCTTCAGGAGCTCTCAAAAATCAAGCCAAATTGTGACTGTGATTTCAAGACTGCTTGTCAAACCTCCACCAGTACCGGAGTGGGTTTTCAGACAGATTGCTTCTTCAAACTAGCGCCATTCCAATGATGGATAGGCCGGGGTAGTTAGTAAAACTAACTGAGCTGAGTGGGAAATGAGGGCTTGGTTTCCAGGTCTGCAGCTGTGTACTATTGTGGAAATCAAACGGTCAGAGGCTGGATTTTCATCAAATCCAAGTGTCTTATTTCCAGGTTGAAGGAATGTCTCATGAAAATTAATGATACTTTATAGAAAATGACATCTCAATAGTGCCAACTGTAATAATTTCTCATATATTGTGCCCATCTTTGCTCTGGAAGGTAGATAATATCACGAGGCCAATAAATAAATAAAATAATACTTCTGCAGTGTTTTATGAGCTGAGGTTCTGTGCCTTTAGGCATTATTAACAGGCATAGTAAGAAGAACTCAAACATGTCCAGTTTTTTTTTTGTTTATTTCACTTTTACTTTGCTTTCAGATTGAGACACTGGCAAATATCCTTGCTTCTAAATTATGTAGAGGGGATTATTATTAGTTTGTTGACTTAGCACAAACATCTGAGGAATGTGTGCCTGTGCAGGCATAAAGTCCCATCTGATCTTCAACCCAAACTATTGTTCACAGTTGTTTCCTGTATGTTTTTGATAGAATATAATAGAATAAACTTTATTGATCCCACTGTGGGGAAATCAATTTGCTACAGCAGCACATAAACGTAGAGAAAAGGAAGAAGGAAAATAATAATATTGCAGGTTAACACACAAAGGCAGTAAGCTATTAACCCTAACCACTAACCAAACGTTGGTTTACAGAACTAAGCAGCATAAGGGACACAGACATGCTAATGTGCATCCGGTATTGCACAAGTGTTGAACACATACTGAATATTGCATTGATGTTATTGTGTACCAGGATAATGTCAGTACCAGTTAAACAGAGTTATACACTATACTGCATGGGGGATAAATGACCTACGGTAGTGCGTTGTTTTACATCTTGGATGTCAGTCTGCCGCTGAAGGAGCTGTCCATGGTCTCCACAGTGGGATGCAGTGGGAGGGAGGGGTTTTCTAAGGGGGGGTCATCTCCACAACTGAATCTAGTTAGCAGCCCAGCACCGAGCTAGCTTTGTTACTAGCATGTTCAGTGTCGTCCTGTCTCGTTCAGAGCTGCCTACACCCCAACAGACCACAGCAGATTGAATAACAGAGCCAACAACAGAGTGATAAAGGATTTTAGCAGATAGGAATTAACTCCAAAGAACCTCAGCCTCCTCAGGAGGTGGAGGTGGCTTGGCCCTTCTTATACAGAGCATCTGTGTTGTTGGACCAGTTCAGTTTATTGTTGAGGTGAACACCCAGGTACTTAAAGGTATCCACCGCCTCAATGTCTGCTCCCTGGATGTTTACTGGTGAGTGAGGGGGAAAGTTTTTTCTGGAGGTCTTACTGGTGTTCAAGTGAAGGTGGTTATGCTCACACCAGTCGACAAAGTCCATGACGACTGACCTTTACTCCAGGTCATTCCCCCCAGACACACAACCGACAATGGTCGGTCGAGTCATCATAGAACTTCTGGAGATGACAGCTGCTGGTGTTGTAGGTGAAGTCCGAGGGACCGTACCCAGCAGAGCTCCCATACTGCACACAACCAACTCAGACGTAGTTGTGCAGCCACATGTACTGTGGCCAGAATGATGCTGGCCACAGTACATGTGATGCCAGAACTCCAGAATGGTTGAGTGATACTCATGGAATGGAGTGTTTTTCTTATATCATTAACTCAGAAAAACAGAGATTGTTTATGTTTTTAATTATTTTGTTAATTTAAAAAACTGCTTTTAAAAACATTTGTAAAATGTATTTTGTGAATTCAGAAAAAGAGCATTTTTAAAATGTTTAATTTATTTTTAAAAGTGATTGCAATACGCTTCCATAAGAATTCACATCACCTTTAATTCAAGAATTTTAAACTAAAATCAGCTAATGAGAGAATAAAGGACTTGTTTTCTGATACATTTGTTTTTCCAAATGTTATATTAGTTTAATTTCAGCTCATCAAAGCAGTTCAAATACCCATCAGATGTATTGATGTGTCAAACTACATCCCACACCTCATTGTGCTGTCTCCCTAGACATCCAGACCTCCAACATAGCTGCAGGCCAAACTGCATTAAGTCATCCCTCTTTATGAAGAGCTCTTCGGGTCCTCATTCCCATCATTTCTGTATTTCTGCATCATCTTTTGAGCAAAAGCAGCTAAGCTTTGAGGGGGATTTTCTTTCTAAGCTGATTTATATCAGCTGATAGTGGTGCCATGAAGCTTTGCTCTGGAATGAATGGATGAATACACAGATGGAGGGGGGGGGGGGGGGTTATGAAACAAAAGTAAGGAACAAGGAGCTGTTGTGTGATTATCCGTTGGAAAGGTGCTTTAGCAGGAGGTTTGCGGTGTTTTATGCTTTGTCTCTGGTTTTGTGTTTAATCTAGAGGAGTAGAAAATGAGAGCGAGGGATGGGGTGAAAGACGACAAAGTTAATGTGACAGTGGAGAAGTTAACATGGGGGTATGCAGTAAGGGTCATGGAGATAAGAGAGTTGAGGAAAAAGAGAATTGATTTAGAAAGCAGCAAAAGAAATAGAATTTGAATAAACATGGGATGGATAAAAGAAGGAATACAAATAAAAGCAGAACAGATAGGACAGATAAAGAATGATGCAAGGGATACAAGGGAGGGATGATGGAAGGACATGAGTCTGAGGATAGAGGGATGAAAGAGAAAGGGAGGAGCAGCAGTCACGTTGTATTATGGGGGGGGGGAAGGCTGGATGGAGTTTTATAATGGGAAACGTGAATGTGCCATGTAGCTGTCAGCTTTAGTGAAGTGATAAATGTACAGTACCATGACCTTTTCTCCACATTATTCCTTTATCAAAACATCCATCTGCTCAACTTTAACACCTGACACAATTTAGATTAAAAATTGGGCTGAAAGATCCAAATGCCAAATGCAACACATACATTTTTTCCTGCCTTTTAGGATGCTTTATTAAAATATTGTCAAATAGGATTTGCATCTTACTAACACCTCCTTAACCTGTGATCTTCTCATGACCAGTCCCAGTTGTGTTCTAATAAAAGTACTGATCTTTTCTTCCCTCACCTACAGTTAAAGAAGCTGCTGTTGACTCCTCCAAACGCCCCCACTGGCATCGATGTGCTCAAAGATGGGATCCACAGCCATCGCTTCGGCAACAGAGGCCTCCGCCTTCGACCAGTCAGACCCCTGGCTAAGGTGAGGTGACAAACCACCATCAATAAGTAGCCGAGCATGACTCCGATGATTAAAGTGTTTGTGTTCTTATCCTTTGGTCAGACTCTGACCTTCCTCAGACTGAAGCAGTTCGGCATGTGAAAGGCGCAGACACATCTCAGTGTTTGCCGGGTGACGCCTCATTCCCTCTGTCCTTTGAAAGCTAGTGAGATAACGAAATTGGATTTTTCCAATCACTTCCTCTCAGGGTGGCGTGTTAAGGCAGAAATAATTTACAGTTGCATGTAGAGTCTACCGTCAGCAAGGCTGCTGCTGCAGCAGGAGATGTGTTTTCTACACACATCAGCATTAACTCTTCCTATTACCATGTCTTCATTTCACAAGAGATATTATGTTTGAGTTGAAACAGTTTTTTTAATGATGCCACAGTTTTAAATTCATACAGTTCAAAGAACAAATGATCTTATGATTGCTTTCTTTCTGTTTTCAACCGCAAACTTGCTCAACATTGAGAGGATGACACTGGTGAGGCGTCACTCTAACCATTCCGCCTGACAACAAGCTGGTCATTGCTAACAATCTGAGGGTTAAAAACATAGTGAGAAATAAAAGAAGGGAGTTTGCGTCTTTCTCCTGTACTTACTCTACCTTCCCACCAAACACATTAGCTTCAAGCTCTTCTAGAACATGTCAAGCTGAGCAGTTCAGATCAGAACAGACAGAAAGTCACAGGAGCAGTGTAAAAATATTTGGAAACTTTCAAAATAAGACGTATGCAGATTTCCTTATTGCTTAACTAGGAGAAAAAAAAAACAAGTCACCAACAGAACAGAAAACAAACCACAGACTTTTTTGGATATGTGCTGCTATCGTTCTGGTAAAATCTGGTAAAACTGGTAAAATCGCATGTGATCTTGCAGTTCTCCAATAATTTTGTGACCTTGCGGGACCAGATGCATGGAGCGCGTTTGCTGATGATTCATGTCTGAAACACTTCGGGTGGGAAGGGACGTCCTGCTGAGCTTGCGGGGAACACACATCTAATACGATACGTTAGAGATTCCAGCTTACTGAAACAGTTTAGAACGACATTTTAGCTTTATTCAGCTTTATCTGAATCATCTTAAACTCATCCTAAGTAGCTTCCTTTTGCAAAATCATGGCCGTGTTTCCACTAGGAGGAAAAAAATGTTTGTGTCAAAATACACTGTGATTAAATCCAAGAGTGGGACGAGGACAGCAGCTGTGTGAACAAAAAAGTGGCGTTCAGTGACCAGAAGAAGTGCTGTTTTTTACAGTTCTCTGTGAGAGCACAAAGTGCCATGTATTACAGTGCTGTGAGGAGATTTCTGCCTCATTTTTTGGCGTTAGGAGTCGCTGCTTCTTTTCTTTTCATTCTGCTTCTCCAGAAACTCCAATTTTCCAAAGGCTGGTTGTTTGGTGACATCTGCCGATGCCATTTCCTAAGTTACTACCAATCAGCATGAATTAAGTCCCACTCAGCAACTCCACCGGACCTTTCAGAATACTATGCTGGTCCCTGATGTCTCCCAGAAAATGGTCCTTCTGGGCCGTCCTGGTGAAATGGAGACACGTGCATCCTACTAAGGTCCAGTGACGATAATGGAAACGAGCCTCATATCAGTTTTTTATTTGCAGTTTAAGTAAATTGAATCATAGCATCACAAAAATTGACGAAAAAGAATAAAGGATAGATTTTGAATTGAATAAAACTAGTTGTGGTTTCAGCTTCTTCAGCTATAAGATACAGCCCCTGAAACATCTGAGATGGTGTTTAAATGAACAGAAAAGATTTTCCAAAAAGGTTCACAATGCAACCAAAAGTGGTGTGTGTTTTGCTGCGCCAGCTTTTATTTAACAAATGACAGATGTTTTATTTTAGAAATACTCGGAGCATTCAGGCTTGTAGAGACCTTCAGCTGCTGCTCATGATAAATGTGGTGTTGAGGAGGAGAAGACATCTACAACAGCTACTGCTGTATGACTTAGCAGTAATTGGATAGCCGCTAGCATTGTACTTCAAGTGGTCATTGATTACAGCATGAGTCATTTATCTTTTACAAGAAAAGGACACTTCACACAAACTTCTGCTCCTGCTCAAGTGAAGAGGGTACAAGAAGCCCACAGGAAGTGGTCGGTAAAACCAAACCTGAATCTATTATCCACTATTAATCAACTCGCTGTCGATGGCTGTGTGTGCAGTTTGAGAGTGGTGTGGCTTTTTTGCTTTGGCAGATGGCAAAAGTATTGACTGACAGGGCAAGAGGGCAACGGTGAATCACAGGCACTCCCTCTCCTCTCTATCTGTGTGAGTAATATAGATCTGCCATTTTAGTACAGCTGCAGACTGAATCATCCCACGTCGGATGGGAGGGAAAACTTACTGCCTTTTGTTCCTAGATACAGTGTCCAGGGCATCAACATAGAAATATATGGACAATGGGTTTCCATAGACTCCAATGACATGTGTTTGAGGAGAAATGGGAGGTGGCCACAACCGCCATTTTGACTGTGTCACAGGTTCCGTCAAGCCCAGACAATTCCACAAAAGGGAACAGAGGTGGAGCTGAGGGTGGGGCTGTAAGGCTGGGATCAAATGACGACACCCGTCGAACTAGCTACAAGCTTACCTGAAGCTAACCCGAAGCTAACGCAGAGGTGGGAGCTAAGCTAATGGAGGTAGCAACCTAGCTACAACCAGAGTTAACTGTGCACAACACCAGAGCTTCTGAGTCAGAGGTACACCGGGCTGACCGCTGGGTAAAACCGGGTGGAACACAGAGGTCTCGGAGACCTCCACAAGCCGGCAGCCACACAGCAGACAAGCGCCACGGCGATCAGAGATGCGCCGAGCTGCGGTGGGGACCATACCGGTAGTCGGAACCCAGCTCCACCAACATGTTATATTTCAACCCATTTTCTAAAGTGCAGCATTATGTTAAATGTACTGGGTTTTACCCTATTACATTTAAATATCATGGTTAAACAGTACATGTTAAAATCTAAGCAGCTAGTGCAAGAGCGGCAGTGACCTAAAATCATCGACATAAATACATAAATATAATTTTACTTACAGAAAAAAATGAAGCAGAGACTCCTTGGACGCTCTATTAGTGCAATTAATACCACAGCAAGTCATTTTGTCCAACAATTGCACAAATAATATCCAAAAAAGAACGCACAAACGCTACAACTAAGTTCAGAGACTAGGCAGGGCTGAGGCTCAGACTGAGCCTACTGAGGCCTTTCCACGGAGCTAGCTCTGTGGTCAAGTGGGTCTGATGCTCATTAGTCATACAGAATTTTAGGCTTTTAATACACTTAAACAGAAGAGTGACAAAAAATTCACCCCCCTCAGAGTTGTCATGAGTGTAAACTAGATCATTTAAACCAAAACCATGTTTTGGTACCAGGCTGTAAACATGTTTATTTCTACTGTGAAATTGGTATTTTTAACATGGGAGTCAATGAGGATTTGCTCGCTTCTGACACCAGCCCCTAGTGGATGAGGGTGGAACTGCAATTTATTTCACTTCCGCGTTGGCCTCAATTTCTGTCCCGCATTGTGGGGGCTTGGTCCAGGGCAGGAAATTGGAAATACAATCTTGTGGTTGTTAAGTTTGTTTTTCTTGTGTGGTGGTTCACTTTTCTTTTCTATTATCAGACAGTCTAGCAATTTATTTCCAGCACAAAAAGAAGGAAAATGGAAAATTGCAGAATTCTTGCTGATCCTCATGATTAAAGAATGAAGATTTCTAGATAAAGATACCAACATGCACTGATGTTGCTTGACAGAGTTGGTGCTGTCGCTGATGTGTTGTATTTACTTAGAGTCATGCAGCTAAATTATTCCCAGAGGAAAATCGTTGTGATTTTATTGGATATTTTCCGATTCAACCTGCTCTACTAAAAAAATAACAAAAATGTCTGATTCCTTAAAAATGTGTGAAGGCATTCAGTTTTTACTTCGTGTTTTTTTTTCACACACAAAAAAATACAAAAAGGTTCATATAAAAAAATCCATGTAAAATCTACTTGTTTGAGCTTGTGATAAAATGTGATATCGTCATTTCCTCTTGAAAAAAAAAACCCTTTTTGGCTGCATTCATGCATTTTCCTGTTTCAGCTGAAAATTTAGAGTTTTACTTTGAAAGTCCTGTAAAGCACTAATGGAAACTAACCTCGTCATCAGGTCCCACTCCTCTCCTGGACGCTTGTCTCTGGTCTGTCTCCCCTGTCCAGATTAGGATGTGTGGCTTAGGCGACTGCAGTCTTGTAGCAGACTATTTCTGGGTATAAATTCAGGCTGACGAAATTAACTCGCATTTAAGATAAATGACATCTCAATAGTGCCAACTGTATTATTTTATCATTTACTGAAACTGCCTTTGTTCTCACAGGTTTAAAGTAGCATGCTACGGAACCTTTAAACACAAAAATTTGCAGAAATTATAACTTTAATGAACCTCATTACCTGTACAAAACAGCATAACAGGCAGAAAGAAAAGAAGAAAAAGCACAATATCAATTTTAGAATGATTTTGACTCTTAAGCTCCAGCAAATCTTGCCATTGGTTCAAGTCTTTTTTTTTCATCACCCCCAGAGTGAACGCCCTCAGGAGCGGAAGCCTCGAGCCGTGCGTCCTGCAGGGCGTCTGTGCACAGAGCTGCACCGCCACCTCACCACCGCACAAGATGCAGAGAACAACCCAGTTCTCAAGACAGATGAGGACGAAGAGGAAGAAGAGGACGAGGAGAGTGTGTCGGAGGAGGACGAGGAGGAGGAAGATGAGGAGGAAGGGGAGGAGGAGTCTTCCAGTAGTGAAGTTGAAGGTGCAGCAGTTGCAGCTGCTGTGCCTGTGGAGCCAGCTACATCTCAGTTCAGCTCAGAAAAAGAGCTGCGCTCTGTAGTGGAACTGATTACGTACATGCACACTTACTGCCTGCCTGTGCGCAAGCAGCAGGGCTGGGAGCGCAAGGACCGTGAGCTCTCCCGGCCTCGGGCCAGGCCTGAGGCCTCCCGCTTGGCCACTACAAACTCTCACAGCCGAGTGGTCTTGGTGGCTACTCCTGGGACTAATGGGGGCTTGACTGGGACTGCCAACAGCACCCCCCGGAGGATCCCCTTTACTAGGCGGAGGGAGATGAAGGCCAACTCCCTTCTTCGTGAGCTCTTGCAGCAGAACAGCTCCTTCGATGTGAGCAAGCCTTATAGACTGCACAGCCCACCCTACTCCCACAGCCCCGCAGGGGGCTCTGCCCCAGCTAATAGATCTTCCTCAGCCCAGTCTCGCAGCTCCTCCAACCCCAAACCAGAACTTTGTAAAGACTCTTCGTCACCTGACAGGAGAAACTGTTCCTCTGAGCCACCACAGAGTCTGGAGGAGCCTGCAGAAACCAGCGGCTCTTTCTCAGTTCGCCGCTCAAGACGTCTTGCATCTTTTCCCAGCCGATTCGCTAAGAGGTTGCGGCCTGGACGGATGCGAGACAACGAAGAGAGAGAGGAAAAGAAAGTGGGGAACAAACTCCTGCCTACACAAGCCGGAGGAGGAACCACAACGGAAACACAGCCAGAAAAACAAACGTCTAGTGATGGCAACAGCACTTCAGAGCCGACCAAACCCTGCTGCCATGGTTAGATAATCCACATGCACAAAGGATGACCTCAGATTTTACTCTGCTTTAACTGACCCTAAGCAACTCATTTTAGGGGTGGGACAAAATAAAAATGTAAAATATTGTCACCTTTTATGTGGCACAAGTGTACGGATCTGGCGTCAAACATGGATGTTTTACTTTTGACAGATTTTCTTGAGTTTGACATTTTTACTTCATGTTCTTTGTCAGAACTCTGAGAACCATTGAGGGACACTTGGTTAGAATCCAAACACACCACACACACACTTCCAAAATGAGTGTGAAACAACAGGATTTAAAGAGTTTAGATTTCTGTACGCTTTATGTGACGTTGGCATTTTAAATGACTAAATACACAATGTCTGTATTCCAACTTCAGACAAATATTGTGACATTTCTTTGTATGTATTACTTATCACAGATGTGACTTGAGCCAATAATTTCAACTCGCAGGACATAGATCATAATAAACAATGATAAACTCCCTCACGATTCCCACCCCTAACCAGTATCAAAGTAAATTTCTTAGTTTTAATAGCTTTATTGTCATAATTAGCCAGTCTGTAATTTCCAATCAGACCTATTAAGGACTAAATCACCTGTAATAGAAGAAAAAAATCAAAAACCTGTTAACAATCATTTTAATCTCACTTCAAAGTTTATGGATTCACATATAAGAGTTTGAAAAAACCTTGACTCTGAACTGTTTCTGTTTTCCAGTAACAGAAAAACGGGCCTGTCTCTGTCTGCCTCTCAGCCCAAAGTCCACAGGGTAAGTATCATTTTCAGAAAAGCATCTACTTTACTGGATTATGTTCTTGTAGCATTTGGTGTTTGTTTTGTTTGGCAGAGTTGGGATCTTCCTTCATTGGTTGTTGTTTGTCAGATGGCCCTAGAAGAACAATGTACTCCCAAGGGTTTCCCTCTTTCCTGTGTTTGGTAAACCCAAAAAGGGAGTCCTAATAGTTAAAAGAAGAATGATTGGGTCAGCTTTCCAAAGTTTAGACAAGAAAATAAAGAATAAAAAGTGGATTTCTGGTTGGGAGAGTCAGGCAAATTTCTCCAGCTATACCTTTAAATTTCTGAGATTTGTTCCACTTTTGAAGGAGGATTTGATTTAAAGATCACGTTCTCTGAAAAACTGTTTTTACTTGTTATTTTTGAGATATGTTTGGTTACTCTTGAGTTAAACATGCAGGCTAAACATGAAACTAGTTTTCTACTCCTATTTCCTGCTGGGGAGCATTGGATTAGGGAAACCATGACAATTGCACACCATAATGTCAAATTAGCATTTGTGGACTCTGCCATCTTTCCTTTCCACTGTTGTTGGTTTAGCATCCAGAAAACAGCAGAGCATGCCTCAGCTAGAAGCTACCTGTTAGCATTTGCAACTCCACAACATGGCAGAATTCCTTTAGGCTTGTGTTATTTGTAGAGAACTGTGTCAGTTGTAGAGTCTCATTGATGATAGCAAATCAGAGTGCGTGTGAAGGTTCTCGGTAATCCAGGTTGTGGTAATCCAAAAGGGTTCAAATGAAGGCAACAGGAGTTTTTTTGGTTTCTTGAAGACGTTTTGCTTCTCATCCAAGGAGCTTTGTCAATTCTCACTGGAATATGGGAGAGTTAAGCCGGGCGAACACTGTGCAACTTTTTCACTTTTTTGAGCCGATTTTCCACTTGTGCGAGAATCCACAAGATCGGGGCGAGTTTAGCGCTGAACGTCGTGTAGTATACAGGGGGTTAGGAGAGGCGATTAACACCACGTGGCCAGCTACCGATCAGCAATCGTGAGCTTGCACGGATTTCTGGCATGTTTGATATTTTGTTGTTGTTTAAGTAGCTGTCTTGTTATTTAACAAGCAGAAACTACTATAGGTACCCCTCCTCTCCATCCCCCTATCAGTCGTTAGCCTCTTTTGAGAGGGAGTCATTGTGTTGATTAGATGCAGGAAGGTGTGACCTAGACTAAAACTGCTTAGGAATGAGATTCAAAGCTGTATCATAGGTAGTGGAAATGTGAAATCTTAAGACCTCCCAATTAAAATGGGGTTTTCATGTTTGCCATAGAAAGCAAATCGGAAGCGAGATGTGCAAATATAAAAAAATAAGACTCCAAATGTCAAGTGAACTTTGTCCTTAAATATTTTATTTATATATTTTTTTTTAATTCATGAGCAATGTCAGCATTTATTTATTATGGAGTCCACCTCCTAAAAGTGTAATATAATTCATCTGTTTCTCTGCAGCAAGGTTCCCTGCTTAATGTTTATCGTTTCTTCTTCCACCCCGATTGATCCGGTTCAGGGTTGTGGAGAGCTGCTGTCTGTCTTCGGCAGTTATTGAGTGGAAGGCGGGGTCGCACTTGGACAAGTTGCCAGTCCATCACAGAGCCACATACGTCACATTATAAATCACACCTAGAGTCACTAATCTAACATGAGGGATTTAAAAACACACATTTAAAGGCACCTTATGCAATTTCCCCAGATGGAATCAAACCCAGCACTTCTTTCCTGCAAACCAACAGTCCAAACCAACTGTGCGGCCCAGCTACTTAACGTTTAATATGCTCCGAGTTCAAACAAAACATTAATGACATGATGGTGCTGGGAACAACTCAAATGGTAGCATAAAGGAGAAATAAACTCCTTTAAAGATTTAGAAGATTGTTTTAACTATAATGGCATGTGGCATGCTAACATGTAAATGACATTATTAATCACCTTTGTTGTTAATTACAAAAAATATATTGTTTTTTTTAACTGTCTCAGTTATGTAATATGCTTCTTCCTATTGTGGCATTGTTAAAAAAGTGTTGTTCACAAAGGAGTAATGAGTTTAAGAACTAAAATCCTCCCCTAAAAAACCTTTAAGAGGAAACTGAAACACAGATAACTGCAGTTGGATGTGTTTGAGAGCGATCTCACTGCTGGATCAAACCGCACTAACACAAAAAGTTTCTTATGCAAATGAGTCTCTGTGAAGTGCACACTCTTATGTTGTAGATTGGAAGGTGTTAACAATGAGAGCAAAACCTAACTTCAGCGACGGTGGCACAGGAGCTAAGTGCTCGCCCCGTGATCGGAAGGTTGCAGATTTGAGCCCTGCTCAGTCTGTTGCTGTCCTTGTGTCCTTGGGCAAGACACTTAACCCACCTTGCCTGCTGGTGGTGTTCGGAGGAACCGGTGACGCCTGTGTACGGCAGACTTGCCTCTGTCAGTGCACCCCAGGGCAGCTGTTACTGCAATGTAGCTCATCACCACCAGGGTGTGAATGATTAAATGACTGATTGTGTTGTAGGACTCTAGAAGGCACTATATCAAATACAGGCCTATTTACCATTTCAACATTTCAAGACACATATATGTAATTTCACGACTTATTGTGCGTATATACAGTCAATGAGTTTTCCCCGTAACTAATGTTACCTGATGTTATGTAACCTAAACATGTCATGGTTTGTTGCTTTTTCCAGGTTTGAAAATATTCCATTCAAGCAGTTTAGGTTTCACGTTCCCAGCTCATAGTAAAAGCAGTTTCCTTAAATTCAAATTTGGTCAAATTTCTAAGCATTTTTTATTAATTTAGCTTCAATTTACACTAAATTACAATAAAAACAGTCTGAATCAGATTTTTTTCATCTAATTGTCGTCGTCGTCGTCGTCGTCTTCCTCCGCTTATCGGGGTCCGGGTCGCGGGGGCAGCATCCCAACTAGGGAGCTCCAGGCCGTCCTCTCCCCGGCCTTGTCCACCAGCTCCTCCGGCAGGACCCCAAGGCGTTCCCGGACCAGATTGGAGATGTAACCTCTCCAACGTGTTTATTATTATTATTATTATTATTATTATTATTATTATTATTATTATTATTATGGGAATTCCCAGTTTTGATGCAGCAGTAAAGAGAAACACATTGAAAGTGGTTCTGTTGAAAATCTGCCCATAAGTGTAACTGCCTCCAAGCTGGTTGTGTGTGTGTTAATTTTTTATTAATCTGGAACAGTTAACCCACAAATTGTTGTGCTGAAAAAAGTATTGTTTTCTCTTCTGCATACCTTGGTTGTAACGAGTGGTAGGGCTGGGTGATATGGTCTAAAATCAACATCACGATATAGTGAGGTTTTCACCTCGACAACGATAAATGGACGATAACTATAGGTTAAAAGTTGTCCACTAGATGGGGCTTTCACATGCATAACGCTGAATAACATTTTTACATGACTCAGGGTGGTACAGCTTCTTAAAAGGACATGAATGTTGCCAACCTACACACATCTTTTAATTTCTTTATTATCAAATTTATTGACATGGGAAAAATTATCTTGATAAAAGTCAGAAATGTCAATAACGATACATTTTTTATTTATTGCCCAGCCCTAACAAGTGGTTATTTGAGTTGCTGTTTCCTTTCTATCAGCTCAAACCAGTCTAGCCATTCTCCTGTGACCTCTGGCATCAACAAAGTATTTTCGCCCACAGAACTGCTGCTCACAGGATGCTTTCCCTTTCTCTGACCATTCTCTGTAAACCCTAGAGATGGTTTTGCGTGACAATCCCAGAAGATCAGCAGTTTCAGAAATACTCTTATCAGCCCGTCTAGCACCAAAAACCATGCCATGTTCAAAGTAACTTAAGTCACCTTCCCCATTCTGAAGCTCGGTTTGAACTGCAGCAGATCGTCTTGACTCATCGGTTGCCACCATGTGATTGACCGATTAGTAATTTGTGTTAATGAGCAGTTGGACAGTTGTACCTAAAAAAGTGGCTTGTGTTTTATATATATATATATATATATATATATATATATATATATATATATATATATATATATATATATATGTGTGTGTATAGCTGTGGAGGGTAAGATATATCCCACCTGAAGCCAATCCTCTCTCCACTTCTCCCTACTTTCATGGCAACCAGGGCAACAGAAACTGACAGCCACAAACAGCAGAGTAAGAATAACTGAGAGGACAGCAGAGTACATATGGCTGTTGTGATAAGAAATGAGAAGCACAGAGAAAAATGCCAGCAGCACTCGCGGGGAGACACATAATTCAGATCCAGCAGACATCAGCTCAAAAATGGGCTGGTTTTATTTTAGGAAGTACAAAGGCTGAGATTCAGAACCCATTAAGGCTTTTCAGGGGGATGGTGTTTAAAGTTTTAAACCTGAAACTTATTCCAACATGACACAGCGAGCTTTAATTTCTCTGCTTTGATGCGTTTCCTCACCAGAGAGTCCCAGTACGGCACCAGGCCTTATGAGCAGACGCTCAGCGTGGATCTGTGTGGAACCGCAGGTAAAAGCATCTCAGGATTGCAGATATTTTTATCCATTTGCGTATTTTTAATCTGTTAATATTAGTGACAGAGCAGACCAGGTATCGCTGATTTAACTTTGAGAAGAAAACAAGAAATTTCTTAGGCACAGAGTGGAGTGTGAGGAAATATCCCAACTGGCATTGTCCAAGTATAAAACAAATCATGTAACACTTGTTTAGGGGGATGTGAAAGTCTTTTTTTTTTTTTTTTATGGACAAGATTTTTAGTGCATTTATCTTTTCTACCCACTCAGGCCTGACCCCTCCCACAACCCCGCCTCACAAACCTGTGGAGGATGAGCTCTTCAAGCCAACAGAGGGCGGAAAGGGCAGTGGCGGCACTGATGGCGGAGGTGGTGGTGAGTCCATCCACCCGGCTTCAAACACCAACAACACCACGAAGACCTCGACGTGGCTGAGTCGTTCCCAGCACCAGCGGAAGCTACCTGAGCAGACAGAGCTGTATGCTCAGCTGCGGCGCATGGGTCAGGCCAGCGACGGCGACGCCCAGCGCAACTTTGGTGACCACGACTACTGCGTGTTGAGCCTTGGAGAGAGCCACAAGCAGATCCCTGTCGCCCCCTCCACCGTGGCGCAGGCACAAGCAGGGGGCAAGGGAGACATCCCACCATCACCTAAAGCCACTGAAAATCAGGACATGGATGAAAAGGGCAAGGAGGAGAGGCTGGTGATGACCGAAGACATGGACACGGAGGAGCAGCAGACGACCATGGTGATATCATCATCACCTCCATCAGACTGCCAGTCAGTTGCTGCCACACCTCCATCTTCTGAGGAGGAGGCAGAGCACTCCTCTGCATCTCGTTCGCCCTCACCCATCCTCCACTTGTGCCCCGACTCCCCCTCCAGCAAGACAGACTCCAGGTAGGACAGGGAGAAGCAAGGCAGCGTATGAAATGTGGGTCAGATCAGATTTATGATGGAAACAGGACAAAGGACAGGTCAAGAATGAGATGATGTTTAATTTACTTAAGATAATAATATATAAATGTTTTTAGAGTCAAACAATATAAAAAACCAAAATATAAAAGATCGAAATTGAATGGGGAAAGCTGAACTTGGTCACATTAAAGTCTTAGTCCATATGTGCCAGTAGTTGCTGCATTAAATGTTTAATTTTAAGTAAAAACACTATTTTGGGATTTGATGTTTCCAGCAGCCTACCTCTGCTTCTAGCACAGTTCACTGGGCTGTGAAGTGGAGGTATTCACTCGTTAAATACGTTGTGATGTGCAGCATGTAAGGAAAACTACTGCAAGAAAGGATTTGTTCTTTAAAAAATAAGATTCATTTTCCCACCATGAAAAGTGTGCTGTCTAAATGAATAAGGTCAGGAGTCGTGTTATGTCTCTGCTTCTAACGGGTTTCAGCTGAACGTGTAGCTGTAGCCAAAAGAATCCTCGCCCATCACTCGGTTCTGTGGTTGTAGGGTTTGACTTGGCTGCTCAACCCTGAATGAGGTCAGCAGTCATGTTATTTCTGAAAATGTAATGAGAAGGGGAAATCTTCAAACACAGAGATGTTTGACTTACATCCATAGGAGACTTTGGTTAAATGAGGTCCACCTGTTTCTTCACGTCAGACATTTTTAGTTTCACCTTGTCTCTGTCCTCATCGCTCACTCACCACCTTTTATCCCGTCTCCTCTTCTTCCTTGTTCTCCTTTAGTGAGAACTCTGAGAGCTGTCCTGATGACAACCAGAGGAACAAAGCCACGTCTGACGAGGTACACGACGTTCATGTTATGCACTGGTGCAAAGCTATTAAATTAAAGAAATTAGAATTCAAAGTGGTTTTAGCTCACCAGGTGTCCCGCCTGCTGACTGCAAGCCTTGTACAAATACTTTAGTCTGTAATAAAACATAAAAAGTCAGTTTTGTGCAAGTAATCCAACCCCAACTCAAAGGGAAATGTGTCTCAGATCCCTAAACTGCTTGCAACAGAGCAGGAGGCCTCCTGAAGAGCGGAACCTCAGGGTGCTGCTTTAGTCCCCACATCCATCAGTATTCTGTGTAGTCGTTTGTTCTGACTGTTGCCATGGTTTTCATGTTGCCAGGACAACTGCCAGGTGTTCTACATCCACAATCTGCCGAGTAGAGTGACGGAGAACATGCTGAGGAAACGCTTCCAGGTTTTCGGCAACACGGAGGATTGTAAAGTCATCATCTGCAATGAGTGAGTGTCCCGATCCGGATCAGGTGGACGAGTCCTTTTGTGAATGCATCACAGGAGGCTGAGTGAATAATGTTGCAGTATTCTATCTTCATTTTCTGTATTCTGCTTTCATCACTGACCTTTACGCATTACTCAAAGGGATGACTTATATACAGTATGAATATAAATAGTCTTTTTATGTTAAAGAGAAGGACAAGCATTAGATGTTTTTAGGTTTTGGTCATCTAATTTATGTCCTCCCGCATAGTTTAGACTTTTGTAACTTTAAAGCTCCATTAAAAGTAATGTGTTTGTCACGATTCGGTGTTGGTAGGACCCAAAATGCAGGAACCCAAGATGACACGAGGCAGGAGATGATATAAAGTAAAATCCTTTTATTAGGATGAATGAAACAAAAAATATCCAAATGGGCTGGAGCCAAAAAAAACAATATATCCAAAGAGCTGAGCAGGAGATCAACACACTAGCGACACCATGAGAAGACTGACAGAATTACCACAATGGACCGACACAAGACAAAGACAAGACAGGGCTTAAATAACAGGGAGGAGTAATTAAGGGAACAGGAAGCAGGTGTGTGGAGTGAGGGCTGGAGGGAAGACAGGTGACAAAAATTACCTAAATGGGGAAACAGAACCAAAGGAGGACAGATAAACCTAAAACTACAAATCCAAACTAAAAGGCTGCGGGAAGGACTAACACACACACACACACACACACACACACACACACACACACACACACACACACACACACACACACACACACACACACACACACACACATAAATAACTCACACACACATATACTGGGCTGGGGAACAAGAGGCTGGAGCTACAACTGGAGGGACAGGATAACTAAATGAACACCGGACATGAGGGGATGATAAAAAGGCCTAAAAACAGAAGATACAATATAGAGACGCAGACAAAGGACACATGAGGGCGCTAAGAGACACAGAAGGGAAACTAGAGAGGGTGGAGAAACATCAGGAGACACAAAAAGGAGGGGGCAGACGCAGACTATGACTGTGTTAGTCTTCAGTCCCGCCATTTCTTTAACATCGTTCCAATAAAGAAATACTTTCCCTCACACTGATCCTTTTTTTTTTTTTTTTTTTTTTTTTCAAAAAACAGGCTGCACATAACTGTATGTGTTGTTGCAGGGAGCGCTGCGGGGTGATAAAGATCAGTCAAGGGGCTCAAAGATGTCGAAGAGAACGTGAGACTGTTTTCCAGAATGCCCCTGCAGGCTTAAGGAGGCTGACGAGGAAACGCTACATAGATCTTGGTAATCACACACATGCAGATATCTCATAGCTGTTAAGATTGCTTTCTTCTTGAATGTTTTTCTTTATTTCCTTTGAGTGTGTGGTTTCAAGTTGTCCAACAGTGGCATACATAGAGAAAATGTTAGCAAATGAGTAATGTCTGAGAAAAACAAATGACACAATCCTACAGGGTAGTAGCTTATAAACCAGCTCATGCATGTTCAGCTATATTTTCGATGTAGGTGCGAAGACACGAAACGCAGAGCCCTCGCAAGGATGGACAGAGTCGGGCCCACTTTTCTAAACATCCGTTAAACGAGATGGAGAACGCAAGTTTGTGATTGGTCAGGACGTTGCTTTCGTCATTCGGCATCATCATTGCGCTCTGAAAAACATAAAGAGAGCCGAAGCTATCTAGTGGCAGACACAGAGCAGCTTGAGGAATACCTTGCGAAAAACTCTTATAATATTAATGTGATTGGAGGAGTTTTCACTAGAGAAGTTCAGCGACATTTCTGGTACGGGAAAGGTGATAGGAAAAATAAGCCGGCTCAGCCCTATCAGCTGTTGTGTCTCAATACAAAACCAACCCGGTCAGAACTTTGCTGAAACGGCAGCCTTTTGTGATTGTTTCAGCAGTGAGTGATGTCACCAAAATGTGTCCACGAACATTAATAACTTTGAAAGTTTAATTATTTCGAAGAACTTCATAATTTAATTCGCTCAGAGGTCTTAAGAAGTGGACATTTTTATACAGTTTGTGCACAATTTTATTCTATTTTTTTCCCATTCATTCTGCTTCCCCAGCAGCTTGTTCAGTACCTGTTCTTTAGCGATGTCTGACAATATAATTTCCTAGTGAGTTACAACCAATCAGTATTAACCACAAGTCTCACTACCGGACCATTTCTGAGTACACACCCAGTTCAGGTACCCGGCTGGTCCCTGGAACGGCTCTGAAAATGGTCTCTGCTTGCCGACCCAGTGAAATAGAGACATTTATGCCGCAAACGTCCAGTCAAATTAAACGCAAGTTCCACTTCCAGTTGGCGCTGTAAAGAAACCACACAAAGCTGACACTTTATGCCAAGCAGATTACCACAACCACTAAACATTTACTCCCTAATAAACTGCACGTCTGTCTGTTTGTCCGACTGAGGCAAAAACAAATCGTTATCGAGTCTGGAAAGTTACTAACCAGAATACAAACATGATATTTTTCTCCTGATTTAATTGCAGCAGAAAGCATTCCAGCTGTGGCAAATTTACTGATATCTTTTGAAAATGAGCGGTTTGTTTCTTGTCAAAAGCATTTGTTATTTGGTGTATCTCTGTTAAGTCTGTCTTCTACACGGAACCATTTTAAACTACTGGTGTTTCTGTGTTTCAGACGAGGCGGGACCTGGCCCTGTCAAGAGTAAGTATGATGCACTGGACTTTGACACCCTGCTGAAGGAAGCCCAGAAGTCCCTGCACCGTTGACAGTACAGCGCAGCTGACTGGTCAGCCTTAGTAAACTGCAGCAGAACCCCTTCGACAACACGAGTCTGCCCTCAGTACCTCCATGCAAGGCAACCTCACATAATGTTTACATTTTTAATATTGGAATAAAATAACAAGAACCTTGTTTTTTTAAAGTTTCTTTCACCGGAGGATACTGCTTAAAAAAAAAGGAAGTCACTGAGAGTCCAGAAAGAGGACGAGTGAGGAAACTAAAGGACTCTAAACAGCAATGGTGCAACAGCTACAAACAATAATAATACAAGAGTAACAACAAAGCTGCTTCCTGTCTGTGCGTGTGACATCATCGCCCTGCCTTGAACAAGTGGGCATGAGAGACCTGTAGCAAATCCTTGCTATCCCCGCATTGCGTTGGTCATTGTGGTGTGTGCTCTTGCGTGTGCGTGTTCTCCATTCTGTTAGTTTTGTAAGAAAAAAAAGAAAAACCTCCCTCTGTTCAGTCAAGTGGTGAACGTTCAAGCTACGTCTGCTTGTACGTTCATGTCACCAGGAATAAAAAAAATCTGCTTTGTTTTAGCAAAAAATTGTGGATGTTCTAACTTTTAAAGCCTACTGTGTGTGTGTGTGCTAAGGACAAAGAGTATAAAAACATTTACCGTGATCAATAGATGACTGATAAAGTTTACAAATGTAAAATGAAGAAAAAAAGTCATGTTTTCTTTTTTGTAATTATAGTGCTTCCTTGATTTGATCTATGCACTGTTGGGAGGTAAACATCTTGCTTGTCCTCCACTTTCCCCTTTTATTGACTCTTTTCTCAATTTCTGCCATGTTGACGATCTGGCTGATGCTACTGGTTGCTGTAGGCTCAGTTTACCGTCACACACTGAAGCATCATGATGTCATTGTAGAAGGGAGAGCTTTCCACTGGAATAAGCACTTGTGAAGGCTGCACATGAGAAATCGATTCAAAACTGGTTAAACCAATTGACTTCTCATTGTTGCAACTCTGTTCAGGTCCAGATTGTCTTAAATCTCCTTTAAAACCAGAACTAAATACGAATAACCACAAAGCTGTTTTTTGAATTTGTTAGGAAATTAAAATAAATAAATAAATGCTACATTGACCTGAAAAATAATTAAGTTTAACAGTCATTACCTGGAAACAGTATTTCAGAAAGGAAGGCATATACGAAGTTAACTACATTAGAAAACATGGAGTGGTGCAATTAAACCACTGAACAGCAAATTCTTACAATTATGAACAAATAATTTAAAAATGTACACATCCTTGAAGACGTCTTGACTAGTTTGGGCTTTTGCGTGTTGTTGGTATGTTTGGGCCTCTCAGCCACCGTGTTAATTACAGCAATGCAGAACACTGACCTACTTTTGCTCCAAACCAGATGCAAATGTTAAGTTAAGCATTTCTGAAGTTTTCATGAGCAGTTGCTCAGCAGTAGACAAAAACAGCTAGGTTCTGGTCATGTCTGAGTAATGATTCAACCTCCATCCAAAGTAGCAGTAACATTACATTTGATGGTTAGTGTCAAATTACATGATTGACATTTCAAAATGAGATGTTTTAAAGCTGCTTTCCAGAGATTTCCCCTTTCAGAAATGATGTATGATTTTTCAGGAATCTGTAAAAGCAATTGTCTCATCAAGTACTGTGATCAAATGAAAGCGATCCGTCTTTATTCATTTTTTGCTAAGCACGCCCCCTGCCTTGCAGAGCTCTGTGCAATAGGAAACTGAGCGCCGACCAGAACTAACCAATAGCGTTAGACTACCGCTTACCTGCTTCGAATTTAAGGAATACCTCGGCTGATGCAGAGTTGATGAACTTTTCACGGACAAGTAAGTCTCTAAAATATAAATATATGAGAACACAACATGACATGAGAATAATACTCGTAAAACAACTTGTTTTAGCTCTGTTTGTCGGCTACAGAAGACCATTTATAAACGTAAATGTGAAGTCGCCATTTTAAAATAAGAGAGCAACAGATGTTTTATGTGATATGCTTGTCAGCCACTAGATGGTGCCATCGGATAAGAGAAATACTCCAGAAAGAAGCTTTAATGCTTTTCAAACCAAGAGGCTTAAATAGATGTGTATTTAAAACAACTCCTTAAGGAGACAATATGCAGTTTTTATCTTTAATCTCTGCAACTTTTCATCGAAATGTTGCTGAAAATGAATAAAATAATGTCAAGTCGTTGAAAAATGTTGGTGGCTTCTTAACGCATACCCATAAAAAGTGGATCTAAAATACATAGGTCGTGGGTCTAGGGATGTTTCACAATGTCAAGGTGCCTTGCAAGGCGATGTCTTGGTAGGCTAGGCGCCTTGCTTACGAGGACACTGTCCTTCCTTGGTCATAAAAAACGGTTAAATGAAGCAGAGTTACATCACGTGACCCGTGAGGTAGTACTATATTTTGTGCATATAAGTTTCAATATAAATATAAAACAAGCCTTTTACATTTTTTATTGTTTATATACTTGTTAAATTAAAATACGTAAGCAAGTTACTACCTACTAGCCACCGAAGCTGCAACTACTAAGCAACTAACCAACTAACTGCTTTGGATATAAAAAATATTTCAGATATCAGCCTAATAGCTGCAATTAGTTGATTACATTTAAACTTAAAATTAGCCCACAAAGCAGCTGCCGGCTTCTGATCCGCCGTCCTTTTGAAAATACTGGGAAATTTTTGACCAAAGCTAGGCTACAAGACACCTTCTGTGTATCCTTGCTCAGCTAGCTAAATGGCTAACAAATGGAGAACACCTCGGTATAACATGAACATTTGAACACGCCTTGGCAGTTTCTGATGACATATCGCCTAGGCAACCGTGTCGGGACCAAGACATCAAGGCGAGGTTCTTTGGCATTGAGAAATACCCTAAGTCTCTGGGGAACGCCATATTAGACACCATGTTTTACGTGAGCCGGTTCGGGGTTCTGCGCCTTTTTATGACATCACTTCATGTTCGTAAAATTTTAAATTAGCACAATGACAAAGAAGATTTTGATTGGTCCAGACACATTTGGATTTGTAATCCTTGCGGTTGTTGTCCTGTAGTGAGAAAAATAAATTGGAGGCAAAGATTGAATTGCCAAAAGAAATGTAAAAAAAAAAAAACAAATATATCAGTTGATAAATGAGACTCTGAGGAGCTCTGACTTAGATGAAATGGGGCAATATTTCAAAGAACTTTATTGAACAAATTACAATTATGCAACCTTTTGAATGAATGAATGGATTTATTTATATAAGAACTAGCAAAACATGCAGGATTCCCATTAATACAAAAGGAAAAGGATGCTAATTATGTAAATACTTTAAAAAAATATTTGCATATAGGAACTGTTGTGCTCACAGTCTGATGTTGGTTTTATGTAGTTTCACATTCTTTAAAAAAAATGAAGACAACGTGGTGTTTTATCAACAAATTACAGTTATGAAGAAAACACTTAGGTGATAAAAAACATGAATTTAACAACAAAACTGCTAAACTCTTTCCAAAACCTATGTGAAATAACAATTGAAAAAGAAATGCAATATATTTTGGCTGAGTGGTGTTGCCGTAGTGTGAAATCATCAGCAGCAAATCGAGCAAATCCGGAAACTACAGCACCAGAAAACTAGCATTGGCATTGCATTCTCTCGATGGAATTAGCTAAAGGACCATTAAAGTCCCGCTGACGTAGCATGCTTTCTGCCCCACAGGTAACAATATTAACCGTAATGTTTCTTTGAACTAGCGACAGTCAAGGCGAAATGGTGTCAAACTACCATTACATGCTGTAACTTTAAATAAAACAAAGAACTTGTTTGCTTTTGAACAAGTGAGACTAAAAATGGGGAAATAAACACAGTGGTCACTTTAGAGCATACACTGGGTTGAACTCATCACCTTGACGCTTTGCCCAGACCGGTTAACCCTACATCATCTCCCACGTTAAGTTCAGTTGTTACAGGCAGACAATCTGTATTTGAAGTCATCCGTTTGGACAGTGTTAGCGACATGTTCAGTTTTAAAAGCACAAAAGATTCACAAAACAACAATAACACCTAATCACTTGCTATGGTTAAAGCTAGAGGAAGACTTGGTTGGTTTAAATGGAATGTATTTAAGAACCTGAATGTAATTTTAGTGTTATACTGACACTTCTGCTTGTCCAAAGATTGTGGAGCTTTTTGGTGCTTTAAAAGGTGAACTTGCTTAGTCACAGAGGACCGGTTCTGGCTTAAAAGTGCAACCTGGGTCATTCACATTCCTGCTGCAGCCAGTAGCAGCAAGCGCTGAAGGGGGAGGGAGCCAATAAAGCCTGCCAATTTGGTGGCAACAAACTGCCACCAGTAACACAGCCAGGGAGCAAGCACGGGATCGGCTGATTAGAAACAAAGGGAGCAATCGGCTGAGAATCAGATTTCTCGTCTGAATTCAGACCAGCGTCTCTACCTCACATCTTCCCATCCCAGCTCCCATCTGTTTTTATTTGTCCATTTTCCCAAATGCTCTTTTCTGTCTTATCACTCAACTGAGCTTTTGTTGGTAATGTTGTCTTTGTGTTCTCTTCTGATGGGCAGTTCTGTGTAGGATGGACTATTTGGACTGTCGACCACTGAGATCTCTTTTCTAGTCAGGTTTTTGCTTGACATAACAGCTGTAGTGTGTCTGCTTCGTACAGTCTCAACGTAGTGTCCATGTGTAATTGAATGTTTCATCTTTGTCTCGTGTTCGAGTTGGACACTGCTGATGCTTATGGGTCAGTGAGGGGATGAACAGAGGCTTGGTGGTTGGTTGGTCCTTGAGTGCGCGTTAAGGGGGAGATCTCACACGTTCTCGGCGCTTCTTTTTATAGTTTCTTCAAGGACACGCCACTACTCCATCTTTCTCTGCTCTTCATCCTTCCTTGCCTAGTAAATCCAATAAAATGCACCATCTTTCTCTCTCTCTCTCCCTTTCTCTCCCTTGCTCTCTCTCCTGTCGTCTTCTGGGTTTTGAGGCCTTGTCTTCTACAGGTCTTCCCAAGAAAAATCCCTACTTTTTAACTGAAGATTCCCTCTTTCCCCTCCTATTTCTCGTCTTTTCTATCTAATCAACGTCGTAAAATACACAAAAAAATTGAATGTTTACATCACTTGATTCTCTTTGGAGTTTATTAGGAACGCACACTAAGTACAAAGGCGCCTTATTCAGTGCTTAGAATTAAAATAACAGCAAGTCAAGATGTCTGGCAGGATGCACCTTCTCCAGGCTCACAGATGTCCAAAACTAACAATTACACTTTAGTGCTATACATACTTAATAATGACATGGTGTCGCCTTTTAAAAAGGATAAAAAAAGTTTCAACCAATTGTGAACAACTGAGTATTGTGCTTAGTATGTATACTACTAAAAGGTGAGAGAATGTGCTGGTTTACATGTTAAAAAAAGATAATATATGAATATATAATGTGTACATAGCACTATGCCTCATTGTAAACAAAATGTAACGTGTGTGTGTTTTTTTTTTTTTTTATTAAAGATGGTGTGTCACACATGATTACTAATAAGACAGGAGCTTTCAGGTCAGTTTAGTTTCAGTATGTTGGTTTTGTTGAGTACAGGGACGAAATGAAGGGAAGGTAACTTCACTTAAAATCCAAACACAACTGCTGTAGCAAATAAGACAAAAAAGATCCAAGTATCATATTTGACTTTCACGCTAGAAGGTTGCGTTTCTTTTGACTTGCTTCAGATATTTTTGTTTTTCTGTTTTCCTAAAAGCAATTTCAGATGCAATACGTAATAATCGCAAGAAAGCCTTTGTGAAAACCCGAGGTAACGTTGAGTGTGTGGTTGGTTGTTGAGCTTTTACACGGCAATCATTTATCTACCGATTCAGTGGGCTGATGTACTGTATGTTGACTGCCATAAAATAATAAGAAAAAACCAGAATAAGAATGTTTTCTGTGAGTAGAAACACAGAAAACGTTGTACTAGCATTCTCACTGCACAAACTGTCATTATTGTCTTTTCTTATTGTAAGCTGTCGTAACTCTATAACACCACATTTTAATGGTGCACAGATTTGGTGTGAATCGGAGTTGCTTGCAGCACTTACTTTAAAGTAACAGCCAATAACCATACCCGGTTATCTCCGGTAAAGGAATGTGGCAGGGAGGTGTTGATGAAAAGCTGGTTTGACCCCGGTAAATAAATTCAGCCAGTTGAGGTTGGCGCTGTAGAAAACTTAGTGTCACTACTTTTCCTGGGAGGAAATGAGTGAGAGGGGTGGCATTTGTCTTCAGATCTTTTCAGACAGTTATCAGTTGTGTTTTTTTTCTCACAAAATGACCAAAATATAGAGAAAAGGAGGAGCATGCACTATTTTCTTCATAAGATTAATTATTCTACCTTGAGACTGCACTATGTTCTAGGGTTTCTACAGCGGCGCCCACTGTGTCTGAGAGGGTACCTGTGTTGTTTAAGAGTTTATTAACATCAAAACTACCCCGTTTTCATCATGGAGAGCCTTAAAAATCAATGGGGGGATAACTAAGCTACCATAGCTTTTATTCTTACTGTTTAAACTCCTTTCCAATCCAATGTGGTTTATTATTAAATAATTACTGACGTAATTACAACTTTTTTCAATAGCCATATTATAAAAAGCTATATACATATATATGAATATATATTTGTGTGTTTGTGTAGATATCTAGATGATTATATACTTTCTTATAGAAAACTTTGATGTTGGTCATTCTGCGTAGTGTTTTGGGAACACGCTGACACATTTCAACATTATTACTGCTGTCTGTTTGGTCTAGGTCCTAGGTCAAAGGGCAACAAATACAATATAATGAAAAAAGGGAATTAATCTCAGAGGAATGCTATACTTTTCTTTCCATTATTCATTTAATAAAAAATGAAAAATGGCTAGAAAATGGTTTCACTTCTCAATAGACAAGTTGACCAAAAAAATGAAAAAAAAAATGCAACAATAAAGAGCACGGTTCACCATGTTCACCACAATTCACAGGATGATGTGAAGAGCTCAGATTCAGTCTAAGATGCCAGGGGTTGTTAACACCTATTTATATGTCGCTCACTGTTTCTTCAGCTTGTTACGCCATGAAATCAGCCCTCACTGGAAAGGTTAGGCATCAAAAATAAACTAAAATATAAACTGTATGACAACAGCGACACATCATGACACATGTTAGGGACTGTAGTCTGTCAAAATCTGCTACATGTGAGTGGGTGATTGTTTATTTTTATTTTTATTTTGGGGGTGACAAAGGGCATATATTGATTTTGTTGTTTTTCATGACTGTTGATTTTATTTGTCTATTTACATCTAATGACTATCAAATTCAAAAATGATTTTTTTTTCTCTTTTTTAACTTAGTTTTTGGTAAAACAAAAAGTTAAATACTGCTAGTGAGATTTTATATTTTTACATATGTTTGTTTTGTTTTACGTCTTTCTTTTTTATTTATATGCCACTTAGTTTGGATGTCTTTAAAGGGTGTTTTTTTTTTTGTTTCTTTTTGTGTAATTGCATATGTCTTGAGAATGTGGAGACAAAGGCATTTCAGTATTTTTGAATTGTTAAAATCTAGTTTCATAGAAGCTAAAGTATCTGATGTTATAAATTATATTTTAATTCATGTAAATAGTTTAAAACAGAAGACTATGGCTTCCTTTTAAACTGAATACATTTCTCTTCAGAGATTGTTTACATTATGAAACTGTAGAGATGTGCTCCTCATATACTGTATAAAGTACATATATTCATTGATTTGCCTCCAAAAATAAAATCCTAATGAACAACATTCATTTGGTGCATGTGGTGATTTTTTAAACACGGTCTAACTCAGTAAATTCAACTTAATGTTGAATGCATTAATGAAAAGTTTTAATATTTGCATATTATTTCCCAGATGAAAATTTACAACATATGTGATCAAGTACTTTTAAAGGACAACTTAAATTTGAAGTAAGAGAATCATTTACGATCATTCATATCATTTACACGAAGTGTGGTTGATCACTGAAAAAGCAAAGAACCTAGATCTTCTGAATTAAACCCTAGAATCTTCTGAATAATTACAATAAAGACCTCGCAGTTTAATATTTTATATTTATATAGAACATTACATCTTCGTGGTCATATCAGATAAAATCATCAATTTGTGAATGCCACACCACCCTTAAATTTTCTGGCTCAGTTTGCTGGTAGATGTAAATATAAACCCAGTGTCATGCCTGTCAAAACAAATATCTGATTATTTTTTATTAAAATATAGCTTTGAAAGGAAATAATGTACCTTCAATCTGCACACCTTTAAATGCCCCTTGGAGATTATTATTATTTTGTTTTTTCAAAATATAGCTTTTTATTAAATTGTTCCATATTCAGCCTTCAACTCTTGAAGGAGACACAAGATTAAGCGTTCTGCTCATGTCTGACAGAAAGCCCAAGTCTAAGTCATCCTAAATTGATGTCTACGCTGTTTCCAATAAGTTCTTTGTAGCTTTTCTTTGTCCCAGCTCTAGTGCTAAGCTCGCCCAACAAACATAAAGGCCTGTGACTGCTAAGACACAAAACTAATGAGCCCAATGGTAGACATGCTGAAGAGCAAAATCTTTATTTTTTTTCCATTTATATTTCTTGGTTACATCATACCAGCTTTCAACACAGTGGTGGAGGGCTGATTGTTTGGGCCTGTTCTGCAGCCAAAGGCAATCCTGGACTTCTAGTGCCACTATCCAGCAGGTTTCAGTTGCTTCCTTGCTCCAACACACTTGATTATAATCAATAGGTGATTAAGGCTTCTGCAGAGCTTGATAACCTGATGAAAAAGTGATTCAACCACAGAATCATGAGTAAGGAGTACGTATGAGAACAGGGAAACAACTAAAGCATGCTGGACAGCAACACTGGAGCAACCTGCCCTACAGTCACCAAGCCAAACATGGGTTTCTCCAGGACTCTAGGGTCAAGTATGAAGCCATCTGTCTCATAGCTGAAGCTTAGACAACAGTCATAAAAGATTATACTGATCGATCACCCTTAAAGTGTTGAAACATGGTTTTGGCGTTGTTAATAACATGGTTTTGTTCATCTGAGGTAGAGGTTACAGTTTCATTTGTTGTTATATCCTACGTACTTCAAAAAGCTGCTAGCTAGCTAACACCAAACTGCATGTATCATTGCCTATGATGTGGTTCAGTGTGCAGCTTCATAACGCACTGCTGTGTGTGAGCGTGTAGAGTGTTCCTTTGGTTAACAACACCTTATTAACAGGCTGCTGGCAATTTTCCACCTGGCTAGACTGTGATTCACATGTCAGAGTCTGCACTGATAATGTGCACATAACAGCAGCAATGCTGCTCTGATGGTTTGTATCCCTACATCAGCAAAAACCCAGGATGATCTGTCTCACACAACCACAAAACTGTAAATTAAAGGGGAAAGAGCATCAGTTGCATTTAACCTGGGAAAAAGCAAAACACAAGGTCAAAATGAAAATAACCAAAATATATCTCAGCTGTGGAGTATTCACTTTTACCTTTTAAAGAACCTTTGGTAAAACAAAATTTCATATTAAATTTTTTACATCGTGGTGTTGCAAAATATGTGGTTAATGGCCCAAATTTGATGTTATGTGGAGGAGAGTGTCAGGATCTGCTCCACCCTCTCTTGGTCTCATTCTCCCATCATCAAATGTTTATTGGACTCACCTGTCCCTTGTTAACCTACCCATGTGTTCCTGATTATCATTGTGTATGTATACCCCATGTTTTGCTCGTGTCCTTTGTCAGATCATCAGTGGGTGTTTCTCAATACCAAGGAACCTTTCCTTGATGTCTTGGCCCCGCCCCGGTTGCCTAGGAGATACGTCATCGGGAGCCACCAAGACGCGTTCCAATCGGTTCCCATGTTCATGTTCTACCGAGGCATGTGTTCTCCATTTGTTAGCCATTTAGCTAGCTGAGCAAGGATACACGGGAGGTGTCTTGTAGTCTAGCCTTGGTCAAAAATTACCCACAATATACCGCGTTATTTTCAAAAAGACGGCGAATCAGAAGCCGGCAGCTACTTCGGGGACAATTTTCAAGTTTAAAAGTAAGTCATCTAATTTAAAACATTTTTTTTTAGATCCAAATAAGTTATCAATTGTTGGTTAGTTGCATAGTAGTTGCATCTTCGGTGGCTAGCGAGTAGTAACTCGCTTATATTTTTAATTTACCGTATTTTCCGGACTATAAGCCGCTACTAATTTCCCACGCTTTGAACCATGTGGCTTATGATGAGGTGCAGCTTTACTGAAGATTTTCCTTCACCTGCAGGGGGCGCTTTAGCAGAAAGTGAAACAGGTGGAAGTCAAAAGTGGAAATCGAAGAAATAGCTCATTTCAATTTAGCACATGCAAGCAGCCGGCACGACGAATTATCTTTTCAAATCCATACCCCCTCATCATGGTAACTACACGTATGAGTTCATATGTTGCCGCATTTAAGTTGAAGGCCATCGATCTGGCGGTAAAGGAGGGAAACAGTGCTGCCACACGTAAGCTTGGCATGAATGAATCCATGGTTCGGCGCTGGAGACGGCAGCGGGAAGAACTCATTCAAGCCAGCTTCACCCGGGGATGATGACAGCAACACGGACAGCGACACTGACATAGCCACAGAAAAGGTATGTGACGAAGCTCTTCTGAGGCTGTTCAACTCCGACACTGAAGATGAGGACGTTAATGGCTTTAGTGCGCAAGAGGAAGATGAGAGCGAAAGACTGTTTCTGGTAGGCAAGTGTGTTTTATTTACTAACCAGGCATGTTTTGTGTGCAGTTTTTATTTTCTAATCATCCAGGGCTTATTAATGCTGTGTCAGCGCTGTTCTTTTCTTCTAAACATGCATGCAAATTACCGGTAATAACGTGTCAGTTCTGTTTTAATTTTATAACCATCCAGAAATATGAATGCTATCAGTGCTGTTTTCTTTTCTAAACTTGCAGGCACGTTCACCCGTGTTTAAAAATTGTTTTGTTGAATTAAAACAACAACGAAAAACCTCCGTGCAGCGTCTTTCTGTCTAATTATCTTATGTTATGGCCATACGTGTGCTGTGCGCCGGAAACCTGCATGTGGCTGCTGCGCCGCGGCTTGTATTTGAGTGTGGCGTGTGTGCGTAGAAAACCTTTTATTTTGTTGGTGCGGCTTATATTGAGGTGCGCTCTATAGTCCGGAAATTACGGTGAATAACCATATACACAATTTAAAAAGTAAAAGCCTCGTTATATGTTTATATTGAAACTAATACATATAAAATATAACGTTATTTCCCGTGTCACATGACGTTACGTGACCGCCGTGGAAGCCGCGGTCACGTGATGCAAGTCTGTTGCATTTAACCGTTTTCTTTGACCAAGAAAGGACAGCGTCCTTGCAAGTAAGGCACCTGGCCTTGCAAGGCAAGACGCCTTGACATTGAGAAACACCAATAGTTTCCTCCATGTGACGTAGTGCATGTTTGTGTCAGCTTACCTGCCATTATGCATTAAAACTGTCTTTACCTGACCTGCTGTTTCTGCCTCCTGGACCAGCTCCACATGGGTCCACCAACATCTCCACCTCAGTGTGACAGAGAAACCTGAGATAATATTTAACAGGGAAACACATTCCTTCACAACACCTGCTAGCTTCAAACAGAAGAACCAAAACAAACTAAGAATCTTATTTCTATTGAGGGACTTCACTGCAGAGTCTGTTTAAATGTGGATGTAACCTAACAAATCTGGGTTTTTCTTTATGAAAAATATTCAATAAAGTACTGACAGCTCTAACAGCTTATGAGTGGAAGGCGCAGGGCAGGCAGATACAGTGATGGACATGTGACAGTGAGAAGATGACAGGTTGGCATTTAGCAGTTACACACAAATGGTAAATGGCCTGTATTTGATATAGCGCCTTCTAGAGTCCTGAAACCCCCCAAGGCGCTTTACAACACAATCAGTCATTCACCCATTCACACACACATTCACACGCTGGTGGGGATGAGCTACAATGCAGCCACAGCTGCCCTGGGGCGCACTGACAGAGGCGAGGCTGCCAAGCACTGGCGCCACTCTTCCCTCCGACCACCACCAGCAGGCAACATGGGTTAAGTGTCTTGCCCAAGGACACAATGACAGCTACAGACTGAGTGGGGCTCAAACCTGCAACCTTCTGATTTCGGGGCGAGCACTTAACTTCTGTGCCACCATCGCCCACAAACACAACATTTATAGCGGAACAATAACTAAGAAAATCTTTGTTTCAGAGAACTTTGTTTTTCAGCTCATAATTTTGCAGGATTGCAGGAAAAAATATGGCGAACTGAACACAGAAGTGAGCTAGAGTGGTAGTGCCACTCATGTTTCTCTTACGCATGAAAACGCATTAGAAATTACCTATGCCATTATAGATCTACTAAGAAGCCTCACCACCAGTTAGGATTTTCATCATTTGTGTTTGGTTTTCATCAGTACCTGAGAAAAATGCTGTGATGAGTTTAGGTTGACGTGTCACTTAAATCATATTGATGTTTTCTGCTGCTGAAGGACACAAGAAACTTTAACTTTTATGAAATGTGTTTCTCTGTGCTGTAACTGTAACAAATGGGGAACTGAACTCCTAAGGAAGTCTCAAAAAGGTCTCAAAACATTCACAAGGGATCAGAATGTCATTGTGGAGCATTCAGGACTTCTTTCTTGTCTCACCTATATTTTGAAAAGAGAAAAAGCTACATTTACTTTTCATCTTCTTTACCTGCTGTTCAGGGCCATGG